GCAGTAATACGACTACGTGTTACTTACAAGCATTCTAGTCATTTACTTCCATTAAGATGGAACCTGTTTTGTATCGGTATCAATGCTGACGAACCATTACATGGTAGAGAGGCATGCTAAGAGACTGAGTCTACTCTTTAATAACTTTTGTCGCAGGCGTTGCCCTGAGAATAAGGAGGAAAATGTGCTTCATTTCATGTCTCAATGGTCATCTCTAGCTAAGAGAAGATCTACAATCTTTGGGGATCCTTTTATTACTGACCTGACCTGACATTTTGATGTCATCTTGCAATATTAACGGCTTGGCCAAATTCAAATAATTTTCTTTGATTATATTATCAAAGAATTATCGCTTTGGTTTACTTTCACCTAATGGGGGAGTTGTTGTCTTTGGTCTTTCTTACTAGTTTTTCTTAGACACAAGGCTTGCAGTCCAACCAAAGCTAACCTATTTATAAGCAGTCAGATTAACCTAATTATATATATATACTTTTGCTAAATTAAGCACTTACTGCTTGTGTAACTAAAGTGAACGGGCTTGATTGGCAATTGCTTGCTTTTTTTTAAGCTTGGAAGATTAACCTTAAGTTAAGTTAACCAATGACTGTGTGATTGAGCAGCATGAAGAAGCTTACTTCATGATATTTAGTATAAATTGAGAATTGAATACCTGTGTGCGTAGTGTGAAGAAGCTTATATAAAATAAGTGTACCTAGTTTAAGTTAAGCATTAACTACTTGCGTGAGTAGTGTGAGGGAGTTTACAAACTATAGGGACTTTAATCAATATTTTAGAAATTTTTCTATATAATATTTTTTACGTTTGAATTATTGTTTTTTGCACTCTTCGTATATTACTTTTGTAAAAAGAAAAAGTATGACTAAAATGTGAGGACATAGTGAATTTTGTGTTTTAATTAATTAATTTAATTTGTATTATATGTGTGTAGCTGTTGATATTCTAAATAATCACAGTAAACTGGATTATGATTTAAGTATATTGACAACATTAAAACTTGTAAAATAAAAAAAAAAAAATTATATTCGAAGAAGAAGTTTCGGTTTTCTGATAAAGAAAATAAGTAGACACAATAAATAATTTTGAAATTTAAATATAGTCTCTGTATTTCAATTACGTTAACGTACAGAAACCCGCTATATATTGGTGATATATTGGTTATTCCCCCTTCCGAAAAAACACCTTGCGACCATAACGCGAAGTGTATGTCTTATGATCGTTCTTGTCAGTGACTAAAGGCTTAACTTCTTGTTCCTTAAAATATTGTTCACTGAAGGCTGCTTTGAGGCGATCCACCGAGATATTCACTTTCCTTCCCTTAACATCCACGACAAAATATTTATCGAAACGCTTAAGAACAGTGAAAGGACCTTCGTATGGAGCCTGCAATGGTTTACAAATCATGGAATTTCTGACGAAAACCTGATCCGAGGAATAAAGATCTTTTTCAATAAAAACCTTTCCACTAGAATGATGAGCAGTTTGAGTAGGTCTTAAGTCGTTCATAAATCTTTTTAGTTTAGCTACAAATTCTGCCTGAGGGTTTGAGACGTCGCGATTAACTTCTGAAATGAATTCCCCAGGTAAACGTAAGCCAACGCCATAAACCAGTTGTGAAGGACATGCGTTAATATCTTCTTTCACTACAACTCTAAATCCTAGAAGGATGAGAGGTAATATTTCAACCCATTTGTCATTTTGATAACACTTAATGGCTGCTTTCAAAGACCTGTGAAATCTTTCAATAATTCCATTAGAAGCAGGGTGATAAGCTGTGGTACGTAAGTGCTGAATACCAAGAAGCTTAGACAGCTCTTTAAACAAATAGCATTCAAATTGTCGTCCCTGATCTGTGGTTACACGTAATGGAACGCCAAATCTTGCAATCCAGGTGGAATAGAATGCGAAAGCTACATTTTCAGCAGAAATATCCTGCAATGGACAAACCTCAGACCAGCGTGAGAAACGATCGATCATTGTCAAACAGTAACGAAAACCTCTACAGCATGGTAGTGGTCCGACAATGTCCATGTTGACGTGGTCGAAACGAGACGAAGCAGGTAGATACTGCTGAATAGGTACCTTGTTGTGACGGTGAATTTTGCTTTTTTGACAAGCAATGCAGGATTTGGCCCAAATAGCACAATCTTTCTTCATATTAGGCCAAATGAACTTTTCTGCTAATAATTTGTGAGTTCTTTTACCATTTGAGTGACAAAGGTTGTGGATCGAGTCAAAAGCGATTTTGCGAAAATGCTTCGTCAAGACCGGACGAACGTTCCCGGTAGAAATGTCACAATACACTGATACATCAGAGTTTGGTAAGGTAAAGGACTTGATTTGCAAGCTGGAGTCTCCGTTGAGAAGCTTTTTAACTTCTTCATCAGTCGTTTGCTGGCAGGATTTAAAAAACTTTGACGTGCAGGCTGGCCGTATGCCTCGTTGGCGGCCGCGCCGTGTCAAAGTGATTGAGAGTGGAGAGCGTTGATGAGATTTGATGAAGTCGTCAGCTTGAGAAAGTAACTTTGATCTGTAGGCTGGCCTCATGCCTCGTTGGCGGCCGCGCCGTATCAAAGTGGGTGTAAATTGTGCTGCTTAATTCACAGAAAAATTTATTGTGATGACCTGGATCCAGATTCCTCATCTGAATGTGTCACCGGCATGCTTGTGTTGCGTTTTCAAATCACGTCGGGGTCACCAATATATAGCGGGTTTCTGTACGTTAACGTAATTGAAATACAGAGACTATATTTAAATTTCAAAATTATTTATTGTGTCTACTTATTTTCTTTATCAGAAAACCGAAACTTCTTCTTCGAATATAATTTTCTTTTTTTTATTTTACAAGTTTTAATGTTGTCAATATACTTAAATCATAATATGGTTTACTGTGATTATTTAGAATATCAACAGCTACATGTGTAATTAAATACTAACGGCCTTATTCATAAAAAGTTATAGTAGATTTGTAATACATTTTATCGAAAATCTTATTCATAAACGTTATTTAACAGTGTTATAAAGCATTTATAAAACTGTATTCATAAACGTATTTTAAAGTTAAAATGCTGTTAAAATGCTGTTAAAATATGTCAAAATTTATAATAGGTTTATAGCTTCTATAACAGCATTTTAAGCACAATTTTTGATTGTGTAGTAATTTTTATTGCGTGAATTACAATTAAATATGGATGCCATAAGCATAATTAAAGAAATTGGTGAGTATTTAATTTAATTTTTTATATAATTTTATATAATTATATAATTTTTTTAATTTTTTTTACAATTAAAAACGAAACTATTGTGTAGATTTTTTAAATGGAATAGCCAAAAAAATTGTCGCCATTTAAAAATATATAAACAACGTGGAGATCCGTTTATGCTGCGGGATGATGAATTTCAACTGAGGTACCGATTTTCAAAAAAGGGCGTAGAAAAAATAATTGACTTGGTGAAACAGGACTTAACGTTTGATAGTAGAGGCGCTGGAGCTTCCGCAAGATTACAAGTTCTAGTAGCTTTGCGATGTTGGAGTCGTAGAGAAGTAACTAATCTTTTCAAATACTATTACATACTAAAAGCTTTTAATATAAAAGGTACAAGACGATGCAGGTGATTTACACGGCCTTAGCCAGGCTACAGTCAGTCGCATTTGCGTTAGAGTAGCAATGTAGTCGCAAGATGGAGAGGTAGTACGCACGACTGCCGGATTTTCGATGAATCAATTCTTAAAGAACAATTAGAGGCAGGAAAATTCAAAGGGGGCTTGGTTGGCGATTCAAGATACAAACTTCAACCATACCTATTCACTCCAATACTGAAACCACAAAACGCAAAAGAAGAACGATACAATGCTGCACACATTGCCACCAGAAATACAATTGAAAGATGCTTTGGTGTGTGGAAGCAAAGATTTCGTTGTCTTCTAGATGGGTTGAATATATCATTGGAGAATGCGAAAACAGTTATAGTCGCACTTGCAGTATTGCACAATCTTGCAGTTACTTACAATGAAAATGACTCCAAAATACCTTATAATGACAATTTTTCTGCGGCTATCAACTTTAGTTCCTTATCTGACTGTGAAGAAATATGTGATGATAATTCAACAAATCGAAAGAAACCTAATGTTATATTAAAAACATTTATTGAAAAAAACTTTTAATGAAATTGCAAATTAAATAACGATTTATTAATCTTAAAAAATTTTTTAAATTTTTATTTTTGTGCTGCATTAATTCATATTTCTCACAGTGTTGTAAAATGTTTTGTGTTTAACAGTAATGTTATTAACATTTGTATTATAGTTATCAAAGGTTTATAATACGTTTATGAATAATGTGCATTATAAGGCCATTAAAAAGTTAAAATACATTTTAACTAAAATGTATTTAAAAAGCATTTTAAGAAATTTTTATGAATAAGGCCGTAAATGTGTTAAGATTTTAAGTATATAAACTATTTGTTAAAATAAACTTAAGAATACGCTTTCAATATGTATGTTATTTCATACCTTTTCTATTTTATTCTTTAAATGATACTATTATAACTCAAAACACATTCGAAATCCATAATTAGAGATAAACTTTTTAAAAAGAAATTTCTTTTTAACTATCTTAATAAAGTGTATTTGAATTACCAAAGTACTTTAGATAAACATGCCAGTTGCAATATTTAATCCAAGTGTTGTAAATATATATTAGAGATTTATTTTTAGGAATGCATGTATTGTTAGTAAACTGATTTATGACTAAAGGTATATAATTTCTTATGACTCTGCTTAAATCTCGTGCATCAAATAAGAAAACTTTTATGTGTGAAGTAATCTATTTCATCTAAAACAAAAAATAATATCATTCGTTAAGTTAATAAGTTCAATTAATAAAGTTTAAGATAAAAAGTTTTGAAAACTCAAATCAATATGAACTTAAACAAATCGTTCTGATTTAGAAGCAGAAGTTAACAACCTAGAAGAAGTATCTTCCAAATACTCGTATTTAAGGTGCACAATAAAAATTGCTTATTTAAAATTTCCTGTGCATAAATTATTTACAGATTTTATCACCATTATAAATATTTTATGTACTTTATCATTGTGTTGAAATAATAATGGTTGTGCTCATCATTTTGCGGAAACTTTTATGTTCCTTCAGCCTTTACATGTGCATAACAAATAGACAAACAAACAGAAAAACAATAAAGGACAATAATAAACTTCACTAGAAAATTGTAAATTTCATAAGATCTTTTACTGCAACTCGTATAAATCTCGGCAAGTGAAGAGATCATAAGAAATTTACATTTTTATGGAAAAACTTTTTGTTGAAGTAATAAATCGCGGCAAATTTCTTTGCAAACATTTTCGGGTCAAAAGCAGATTCCGCTAAGAAATGTATGAAAGAAATGGATGAGAATAAAAACTACAACAAATATCAGAAAGTATAAATAAGATAAAAAAATAAAAAAATTATAATATAAACAAGGCTACAAGGCAAGACAAAAGACAGACGATTTATTTTATAGTGTACAATTTTATGCATGAATTGCATTGCATACATTTAGGCGAAGGAAAACATATGAACAATTTAATTTTATTGTTTTGACTGAAATTTTGTAGGTTTCACGTTTGGCACATTTTATTTATTTATTTATTTTTTTTTAACCAATGATATACTAAATTTAATATATGTGAATTATTTTTAAAGTTTTGAAAGTGAATTTTTTAAAGATTGAGAAACTTAAACATAGGCAATGCTTTTAACTCCAATTATAATTATTTTATTTATAAATTTGTGTACTAAAATTTTGTAGTGTAATGATTTAGATTCTGTTACAGGATTCAATATAAATAATAGTATAACTAAAATATAGCTAAAGTCTTTCAAACAGTTGGTACTAAATATATGCGGAGAGTAACATAACTTACAATATATTCACTGTCTGCTTATATTATAATACGTTAATTAATAGATCTTATTTAATTTGTCTTCAATTATTAAAATAAATACCATATATCAGTAATAAATATTATGTTTGATATTTAATTTATTTATAGATTTAGTAAGTTCAATGCAGCTGTAGTGTCGTTCTTGTAGTTTCAGTTATTGATAGTGCACCTTCTGTATCATTTTATCGATAAAAATTTTAAATTTTTGTACAAGTCTGGTTTACTGCGTTCACAAGTTTAAAAGCAATGTGTAAACAAGATCGGTGTTGAAAACAACAAATAATCCAAAGACATGTATGCTTTCTATATATTATGTTTTTATCTATGGGCGATGTTATATCAGTGCATCAATCATTATTCTATTGTGAATAGAGAGAGGAATGGAAAGAAAAAAAGAAAGTGAAACATATATATACAGAGGGAGATATTTATATACCTATATACAAATAGAGAGAGAAAAAAATTAAAAAGACAAACAATGGAAGAAAGGAAGAGAGATAGAAAAAGCGAATGATAGAAGGACAATTTTGTACCAAAAATGCGTTCCTTAGTGTTATATCAGCACATAAACCTTTATTTCGTCGTAAGAACGATAGGAGTGAGAGAGATAGAAAAACAAAAAGAGTGCAAAATAAAAATATAGAGAAATAAAACGAAATAACATGAGAACGAAAAAACGGATATAAAAATGTGAGATATAGAAGGGAGAAAAGTGAGGGACAGAAAAGAGATATAAAAATGGGAGATATAGATGAGAATAGGAGATTGCGATATAGAGAGAGAAAGATGGCAGGCAGAAAGAGAGATAGATAAAAGAGAAAGTTATTTAGAACTAGGAAGATAAAGACACGGTTGCCACTTGAAAATTTTTTTCTGTACCAAAATTGGTTTAAAAAGGTACCATTTCTGTAAAAAAAGGTCCAAAATTTTTCTATTGTCTTTTTATAAGAAAATACAATTTATATAAAATGTACAAAAAGTATAAAACAATACAATATCCACAATAAAGTTGGGTCGCCGAAAATGTACCATTTTTTGAACATGAGTACCAGAGTACCAAACGGAAAAAAAAGTACCAATTTTGGTACTAAAGTACCATAAGTGGCAACCGTGGATACAGACAATGAGTGAGATAGAGATACAGAGATGAGAGAGAGAAAGAGAAAGAGAGACAATCAGAGAGAAAGAGAGAAAGAGAGTGAAAGGGAGAGAGAGAGAGAGAGTGGGAAGAGAGTGAGATTTATGCAGAAAACTGATATTTGATTGTGAGATTGATATTTTCAATACAAAACTGAAAAAATTAGTTGTTATTTTGCTTATGTCGCACTGCAGTTACTAAATTTTATCCAAACATTCTTTGCAAAAGTTTATAACTTGAAAAAACACAGTTAAAGATATCACAATATATTTTGAATAAGTGGGTATCACATAACTTTTTCTGATAATACGGTAATGTGTTTTATATCAATTAAAATATTATATAAAATTTGTTATATTTTTTAATTAAATTAACTTGTTATATATATTTCATAATGCTTTATATTATAAGAAAATAAAAAAATAATAATTTAGCTGGGGATGTGTCTCTTTCTCATGTGAAATTATAAAGAGATTTACGTAAACTTCTTGAAAATAAGTAATAAAATAAAATAAAAATACAGTATCAGTATAAACCATCCTTCTTATTAAAATTTTTTTGAACAAATTTATCTAAATCTCTTTAAAATAGAATAAAAATAAGAAAAATATTTATTAAAAATGATAAGATTAAGGCGAAAATATGAAAAATGTGGAAAATCTAGTGCAACGACCATTAGCATTAATGGCAAAAATTTTCATATCAAAGCTTTGACCGCGGCAAGCCTGCGAGGCGTGTACTTTGCGTGTTGCAAGACCAACTTTGACACCAGCACATCAAAAGTATATTAAAAAATTAAAAATGAAAAAAAAAAGATATATATGACAAAAAGTATATAACATAAATACAATACCACACACAAACTCACACTCCATACAACAGTTCACTTCTATAATCCATAGTACGTTTGGTACGTAGTTACAGTTTCAAGGTTTCTTTCTAAAAACTTTGACCACTCGAACTAAATTTTTTTGTGATAAATCTGAGCCACGTTTACTAATGTGAATACTTTTCTAAATGCTTCTTGTGTTAGGCTGTTAGGCTGTTAGGCAGGCGCTTTAACTTGTCATTAACAACACTAGCCATAAGCACTACGCTAGCTGTAAAATTTGTTAGATATTTCCGTAACGCACCTAACCAAACGCCCATTACCACTCATTACTCATTACCCATTACCCAAGAACCAACAACAGCGCTTGGCATTCACATCAGTGGCATGTTAATCAACATTACAAATTACATACATTTATATAACGGCAACAGCAACAGCAACAACGACAACAACAGCAACAACAACAACAACTATAATAACAGCAATAACAACAACTGCAACTACAACATCGCCCACCAAGGACGTGCAAGTTTAGCGCTTAGAGTACCGAAATGTTAACATGTAAGGCCGCCTAAAAGCGAGCTACAATTCTGCATGAAAAATCTGTTAAAATTACTTAAAAAATTTAGTGGGTGGAAAATATTTTTCATATTACTTGCCTGCTCCGCGCATAAAAAAGCATTTTAATTAGCAGAAAGAAGAAGATGAAACGAAAAAAAAATATGAGAAATAAAAAAGCTATTTACAAATTTTTATGTTGCCAGCAACTTAACAATAATTTTTTTTCTAAACTTTATATCTGCAAAAAGAAAAAAAAGTATTTATAAAAGTAAAATATGTACGTGTACAGAAATAAATTTCATAAGAGATGTCGAGCCTCGTGAGCGACGATTTATGTTTTAAATGTTCATTGGGGCGTATGAGTTACATTTGTACAATTTAAAAAGCACCTATTTTGCATGTTCTCAGCATTTTTATATTGCTTAACATTGAATTTTTTTTGCCTAATTTTAATTTATTTATTGTAATTTATATTTTAATTTACTGTTTTTCCCCCACTGCCATAGCAGTTTTTTTAATTTAATTATATTTTTGTTCCTTAAGTGAATTATATTTTTTAATTGGTTCGCCTTTGGCTGGAAAGTTCTAAGGATTTTAGGTGCAACAGAAATAGTCTTTTTTTAACTTTTTTAGTATTTTTTTTTAACGGTCAATTAACTTGAAATAACAATAATATTTTCAGTTCATTATAAAGCAAAAGAAAAATAATTTAAAGGTTAGTAGAAA